CGTTTTATGGTACTTCTCCGCTATCTCCGCACCGCTCACCCGACTCACCCGTAAAAACGCGCGCTGGCAATGGGGATCGGAGGAGGAAAACGCCTTCAACGCCCTCAAGAGGGCACTAATAACAGCACCCGTACTCGCCTGTCCCGACTTCCGGTTACCGTTCAGCTTACAAACCGACGCAAGCAACTACGGTCTCGGCGCCGTTTTGACACAAAACTTCGCCGAGGGCGAACGCGTAATCGCGTACGCGAGCCGCACCCTAAACGCCGCCGAGAAAAATTATAGTGCTACCGAGCTAGAATGCCTCGCGGTCGTCTGGGGAATCCGCCGTATGAGAGACTACCTAGAGGGGTACTCTTTCACGGTGATTACGGACCATCAGTCACTGCGTTGGCTCAAAAATCTCGAGACCCCCACCGGCCGATTGGGGCGCTGGCTCGTCGAGCTCCAGCAATATCATTTCGACATCCAGTACCGTCGCGGAGCATTGAATAAAGTTGCCGACGCGCTCTCTCGCGAACCCGAGGCCTGCGCCGTTCAGCCAGCCGCCTGCGCCTGGTACCGCGGGCTAGTAAAAAAGATTAGAAAAGAGCCGAAAAGTTACCCCGACTACGCTATACGCGGGGGTAGACTCTACCGGCATAAACGTCACGATCTAGAGTTCCGCGACCACACGGAAGACGAACAGTGGAAGCGCTGTCTCCCTCGCTCCGAGCGAGAGAGAACGATCCAGCGATTCCACGACGAACCGACCGCCGGGCATTTAGGCGTCGCGAAAACGATCCACCGCGTCACCCGCCGTTATTACTGGCCCGGCATGTTCCGAGACATCGCCCGCTATGTTCGGGGCTGCGAAAAATGTCTCGCGTACAAGCCCTATCAGGGCAAACCCGCCGGCCGCGCTCTTGCGCACAATGTCACGGCCCCGTGGCAACAGGTCACGATCGACCTAGTGGGGCCTCTGCCGCGATCTACAAACGGGCATTCGTGGCTCTTCGTACTGCAAGATCGATTCACGAAGTGGGTCGAATTACAGCCCTTGCGCCGAGCCACCGGGGAAACGATTAGCAAAACCGTTGCTGAACGCATAATATATCGACACGGCTGCCCCGAAATGGTCATATCCGACAATGGGAAACAGTTTATATCGCGCCAATTCACTAGCCTATTAAAATCTTTTGGCATAACGCATCGCACAACGCCGATATACACGCCGCAGTGCAATCCCGTGGAGCGGACCAATCGAACGGTCAAAACCATGATCGTGCAGTTTGTCGAGCGCGATCATCGCCTGTGGGACCGCCACATTCTCGCGCTACAATATGCATACAATAGCGCGACGCACGACGCCACCGGATTTACACCCGCCTTCGCAAATTACGGGCGCGAGTTAGCACCGCCGAATCCGGAAGACCGAACGCACCCGAACACGCCGATACCGACGACCACCTGGCGGCGCCATCTAGACGAGGCCCGGGAACTGATGACAGGAAACCTCGCACGAGCCTTCCAACGGCAGGAGCCGTATTATAATCTGCGGCATCGCGATTGGCGGCCTAAGATCGGCGAGACAGTTTGGCGCCGCGAGCACCCCCTGTCGAACAAGGCCGCCGGCGTAAACGCCAAACTCGCGCCGAAGTACACCGGCCCCTACAAAGTAGGCCGGATCATCACCCCCGTCATTTATGATTTGCGTGATAAGAGGGGGCGATGGCTAAGGCGCATCCACGCGCAAGACTTGAAGCCAGGAAACGGGGATAAGACCCCCCCGATTAGATCTAAAGTTCGCAATTCCGGGGAATCGGACTATATAAAGGCCGATTCCAGGAAATCAGATCACTTGTTCAAGATGAGCACTAAAAACATCTTGAGCGTAATCGAGGCCCTCTTGACCGAGGAGCCTCGACAGGCCGCGATGACGTCGCAGCCGTTCCGCACCGTCCCCCGAGTGGGGACGTTAATACAGCGTTCCGACGCTGAAAATCGCCGAAAGGCGATATTTTTGGCGACACCACCACCACCGGTGTCGCGAGGACGAAGGAAGCAGAAGTCTCCGGGCGACGTGTGCAATGCCACGCACACGCCGCTACCGGAGCGAAGACCCGCGGTCACCGCGCCGACCACCGCACGGACCAAGCCGACCAGGGCCGTAAGGATACGTCCCTGGGGCGGCCCACTGCCGACGACTTCGGTCGTTGGGACTCGGCCACCAACGGCCATTGAAACGGTCGTTGGAACTCGGCCGCCAACGGCCCTTGCCGCACCCGCAGCCGCCGCATCCCGGCCAACACCAGCCGCCGCAACACCGACGCCAGCAGCCGCCGTCATATAGCCACCACCGGCCTCCGCTGTACCACCGCCGCCACCGAGATGGGATCCAGCGTCTCCACCACCCATCATGGTGGAGTACGCCCCACGAGCTTTTGCCGCTATACCGTACTTCTCGGTGATGAAGTCGAGACGGTACAAGCTCTGGACCACCGACGGAAGGAGATACAAACTCCTGTTCTCCAGGGAGGGCGACTCCTCACCAGCCGTCAGCTGCCTCCGCAGGCTTCCGGCTCCCCAAGAAGGGGGGTGATGTAACGATGCAGCCCGCTGCATTGTTACGGCTACGGACCGTCCATCGTCCGTAGCCCACCAAGGGCGCATCGCGCGCCGATAAATTTCCTATCAAAAACAGCGGCGGTCAACCGCCGAAAATCCCCCACACCCGACCGTTCCGAAATTCCGTTTTGTGGGGGACTCACCGCCGTAACCGCCGATGCTTGCCGATTCGAAATCATTCGGCCGCCAGCCGGGTATAAAAGAGGCCCGGCTGAACGTCTCTCACCAGACTCCGTTCGCTGATCGACAGCGAACAACCCTGCTACGAGCGTCCTCGTAGTCCCGACCGAGCATACTCGGACTCTATACCTGTGCCAGCACACGAGTATCCTCGTGTACCGCCGAGCGTCCTCGGTATTCTTTGATTCCAGGATACGAATATATTCGTATACCCGCCAAGCGTACTTGGTTCCTCTAGGCCACCGAACTTTGTATTGCGGGCATTTCCGCATACCTAGCCAGGTCGCTGTTCTAAATTCCGTCTTCGTACGAGCATCCTCGTACTCCCGCCGAACGTAATCGGCAGCCTAAGTCCGCATACCGCGTTTATTCGCCGGGATTTCATAATTGTAATCCGTCCGGCAAGCAACACCGCGTCGACCAATCCGCGCCGCCGAATAGTCCGCATCGATCTACGATCGAACAGACTCGCGATACTACGAACGCACTCACCGACAAGCGCTCCGTCTTGTATCAACCGTTGCGACACGATCGCCCGCGCTTGCGCTCTCGCCGACCGCACCAGGACGCCTCACGTCATACTAAATAATTATTCCACCGTCGCCTCAAATAATTATTTCATTATTACGATACTTCGCATTGATTTTCACGTATACTTCGCATTTATTTTACGCCGCCTTAAATAATTATTTCACCGCCGCTCGAATAATTATTTCATTTTGCCGATATCTTGCATTTATTTTCACGTTGCTTTCGCTTCTATTTTGCGCCGCTTTAAAATAATTATTTCACCATTGCTTAAATAATTATTTCGCCTTTGCCGATATCTTGCATTTATTTTCACGTTGCTTTCGCTTCTATTTTGCGCCGCTTTAAAATAATTATTTCACCATTGCTTAAATAATTATTTCGCCTTTGCCGATATCTTGCATTTATTTTCACGTTGCTTTCGCTTTTATTTTGCGCCGCTTTAAAATAATTATTCCACCGTTGCTCAAATAATTATTTTACCAGTAACGATACTCCGCATTTATCTCACGCTACTTATATGTTCTTTCGAATTCGCTTCGCACACGCTTCACATGTACACACGAGCATTGAAGCAGATCATTCGAAACAAATCGTATCAACATCTTTCTCAATAATCGCTGTTTCATTATTTTGTTATAAACGAGCATTTGGTTTATTTGCCATACCCCCAACCGACCGAACCTGGATTCCGGCGAGCTACTCCGCGTCCGCCGAAGCTCACACGGTTTCATGCACGTTTCCTGAACACTTTTTATAGTTCAATTCAAAACAATACTGCTTCAAGATGCGAAGCACTTCTCCCAAAATTTCAAAATTCTGTTCAATCGTTTTAGTCGGAATCAAAACGTCATCTATGTACACCAATATTTTGTTTGCGCGGATCAACGGGTTTAAAATTTGTATAATGCGTTTCTGAAATTCGGCTGGTGCTTCTGAGTACCCGAAAGGCAAACGCGTGTATTCGTATTGTCCGTCTGGTGTCGCGAACGAAAAGTAACGGGTTGAATTCGCGTGTACTTTGATTTGATGAAATCCGTCTTTTAAGTCTAACAATGTGTACACGGCTTTATCCGACAAACGTGACAAACAGTCTTCGATACCCGAAAACGGATACTTTTGTTTTTCGACTCTACTATTCAGTGGTCTTAAATCAACGCATAATCTAATTTGACCATTTTTTTTTTCTTACAGGTATTATCCGCGAGCAATACGGTGAGACGCTCGGACGGATAATTCCCCTTTTTAACAGATCATCGGTGATCTCTCTTATATGAAGGCGCTCCGCAAAAGTAAAGCGTCGCGGCGCAAACGCATAAATGGAAGGATCACGTAAGTGCACTTTCACTTCGTAATCATCCTCGATCGGCTCAATAGTTTTATTTTCTACATCTATGATTAAATCTATTAACTTTTCCTTAGTTTCTATATCTAAATTATTAACGTTATCTGTAATTATATTTTGCAGGTCTTCTGCTTGATTGTCGACAATACAGAGCGGCAATTGCTCGAACAACAATTTGTTAAGTCCCTATCCGACGGTAAGATTTTATGATTTTTCGGCTTTATTAATTTAGCAAAAACTTTATAATTAATAAACGACACCGGACTGCCGGTATCTATCAACGCCTCTAACTCGCAACTTTCTCCGCAGACGCTCGTGACCTCCGCTATCGGCTGGGACAGCTCTAATTTGCCTCCGATTGGTTCCGCGACGATCGCCACGACGTCGTCGTTGGATGCCACGGACGAAACAGCTGCCGCTGTATAGGCCGTCGCCGGACGAGTCTGTGCCGTCGGCTTCCCGTCGCCCTTGCCCTTGAGCACGGGGCAATCAAACTGACGGTGACCCTTCGCCTTGCAGTAAAAGCAGGTAGTGTCACCTCTGCATTCTTTATGCGAATGGCCCTTTTTCCCGCAATTTCTACAGATGTTAATGTTCGTTTGTCTAGGTGCGCTTGTAGACGAGCTGGGCTTCCGCTCTAAATCTACGCCACCTTCTGCGATACGGCGCATTTTCACTAGAAAATCGTCTATCGAGTCGCCCGCTAACGAGAGAGCTATGGCCCTCAACGAGTTCTGCGTTATTCCGCCGATTAGCAGATGAATCGCGTCGTTAACCGGTAAGTTTAAATTGTTTATCAACGCGAGCTTGGCGATTGCATACTGGTCGAACGTCTCTTTATGGGGGCTCCACTTTCGCGCTTTGACTTTTTGCATCGCCTTGTAGAACGGCACTTTTTTTTTAAACATTTTATTCAATTCGACTTTCAGGCCCTGTCAGGATCCGATCACTTCGCCCGTCTGGATCTCGTACCACTGGCGGGCGAATTTTGTTAATTTGCTGAACGCGGCCAGTAATGTGATCCCGTCGGACGCACCATGAATAACGGCAACTTGGTCGACCCGTCTCGACCACACGGCAACGTTCTTGTCCTCACCGCCACTAAACTCCGGAATCTGAGAGGCCAGCCAGCTAACCGCGTTACCCGTCGGTAATGTATTCGTGCTTATCTGCGTGTGGCCGTTTATTGCCGAATTAATATTGTTCGTCACATTACCTTCGGTTCTGCTAATAGTTTCTGGGCTACCTGGGTCTGCCTCTCCCTCAGACTGGACAATCTGGACGTTTTCTGCCCTCGGCGCCAGCTGCTGCAGTACCTGCAGCATGAACTGCTGCTGCTGCTGCTGAAGCTCCTGCTGCTGCTTCATCATCGTCGTGGAGATGTCCGACATCGCCTGACGGAACATCTCCGACGTCAACGGCTACTCCTCCGACTGTTCGCCTTGAAGACGATGCTGCTGGAACGTGGACTTCGCCAACTGCTTGCTGCTCGTCCAACGTCCTCTCCGACGGCCCAATCCTCTCAAGGTGGGTCAGAATTTGCTCGATAAGAAGGTCTCGGTCGTTTATCACCGGTATCTGATACCGCCGAGCCTCCCTTTGTATCGCTTCTAACGAAGCCTGCTCTAACTCCTCACGATCAAGCATCGATCTCGTTTTCGGCATGATGCTTGCCCGACACGACTCGACAACGTCTTTTAAATACTTTATTCTAATTTTTTGTTCAGACTCGAAGAGCCCGTTTTCTACTTCGACACGACACGGCAACGGTTTCAGTCTTTCCGACACGATGCGGACTTGAAAAGCCCTTTATCTGTTTCGACACGACACGGCGACGATTTTTAACGTTTTTCGACACGATACGGACTCAAGGATACAGTAATCCCACTTCTGAGCTGTAAGATATTTCTTGAAATTGTCTGTAATATTGTAAGATATTTGAAAAATAAAGTTAAACGTTCGGCAACGGCTATTATTTAAAGCGATAGGACCGTTACGTCCTTTCCGACCTTTTTTGTTATATTCGTTATTATTCCGGCAATGATATTGAATTATCAGGAACTGCGGTTTATAAAAGAAAAGAATCGTCACTTATACTTTACTGAACACTTTAATGATTTATATAAACTGTGATATCTGTGATTTTTCCAAAGTTTGACTCGACCAATTTTACAAGTTCTTAAATCTCCACAAACTTCCGACTGTCTCTCTATTTTATCTTCACTTCTCGACTTATGTCCACGACCCGACGTTAGAGAGTGATTTTAATTTTTCATCTCTCTACCAGGTTACCTCTTAAGAAGGTTCTCGAACAGATCAACGGGTACATTATTATTCTTAAAAATATGGGGCGGGAGCGCGCCCGCGCAGAATCGATATGATCGAGGCGCTGCTCGATACTCTGGCTGCCGTCAGCTGGCGCCGTCTATCAGCTGCTATCATTGCCATCTTTCAGAACATAGTTGTTAAAATTTCCACTTGTCGTACAGCCATTGCCAAATCCTCCTGTATGTGCTGCCTGCAAGCAAAATAATATAATATGGTAAGATTAGAAAAAAAGTAATTATTTCATACATAATATCAGCTAGCAATACTTACATCGACACCAGCATCACTCCATTTCCGTTTCCGTAAATATCGTAATCAATTTGGCATGATTCAGGGGCCTGCTGTTGTACCTGTCGAGCCACGTCTTCAAATTGATATATTGCAGTACGCAGCACAATCACCCAGTCCATTAAAGTTAACAACAATTCACTAATCCCGTGGATTTCTAACGTGTATAGTGCAGCCATTGCTAGCGTAATACTTCCGTCAAATATCTTGCGTGAACTTGTGACCGTCCCAGCCTCCGACACATTTTTATCATCCCTTAGATGTGTTGCAAATCTGTGTGGCTACATTACAGGGGTTATCTATTCAAAACTCATAATTTCTAATCTCAAAATATGATTCTTCTCTAGAGGAGATACTTCACCATATCTAATGTGATAAAAGAGTTGTTTAAAGTCGTTCAATAGAGGTGCCAAAGATGTGTGTTTGTTTCGTAAACGTTCGAGTAATAAAAATTTCTGCCCAGGATATATCGTGTGACATGAGGAGGATGTACACAAGTTTGCGTTTATCGGAGGGTGTACGAAAGCCTTCGTTCTCTCGTAGCAGAAAGAAAATATTTATTTGTTCCGGTTCTTTATTGCTCGTTCGCGGCTACGCAGTTCGCGCTGGAAAATGAATGATACGCCTCGTGGGTTTCACAAGTCTTTATTGAAAATCACACCTGGCGATCAGTCTAGACATCGAATTCATTCGCGCTCACGTTACAAAGTCTTTCGTTGCGTTACACTCGCGTTGCATGTCCGTGCTCGCCGCTCTCTCGTCTCGGACTCTGGCTGGGCATGCAGCAACCGGCACGTAGTCAACGCTAGCCGCCGAAAAGCTGCCTATCAGCGATCGACACCGCGAGTTTGGTAATAAGCTGCCAATCGCATTAGGCGTTAGAAAAATACAACTACTCGTTTTTCGGCGATTTCTTATACGGACGCGAACTAACCGCTTGAAGGCCGCTTCGCTTGGAATAAACAAACAGCGGCAAAATAAAGGCCAACGATTCTCGAAGCTTCGAACGAATTCTCGCTTTCTTACTAGTAATCCTGAACAGAGGAGCTTGTTTAAAGTCGTTCGATAGAGGTACCAAAGATGTGCGTTCAATAGGCCTTTGTTTTGTAAACGTTCGAGTAATAAAAATTTCTGTCCGTGTGACACGAGAAGGATGTACACAAGTTTGTGTTTATCGGAGGGGCTTGTTTAAAGTCGTTGGATAGACGTGCCAAAGATGTGATTTGTTTCGTAAACGTTCGAGTAATAAAAAATTTCTGTCCGTGTGACACGAGGAGGATCGGAGGGGGCTATCTTTTCAAAACTTTTAATTTTAATCTTGAAATATAATTCTTCTTCATCGTATGTAATTTCATAAAAGAGTCGTTAAATGTGGTAAATGGTTCGATAGGCGTACGATGGATGTTCGAAAGATGTTTAAAGACGATCGATAAATGTTTAAAGCCGTTCGATAGGCGTACGATAGATGTTTGATAATTGTTTAAAGCCGTTCGATAATGGTTCGATAATTGTTTAAAGCCGTTTGATAATGGTTCGATAGATGTTCAATAATTGTTTAAAGCCGTTCGATAATGGTTTGATAGATGTTCAATAATTGTTTAAAGTCGTTCGATAATGGTTCGATACATGTAACAGATGTTCATACGAATAATTTCTTCGCATGATAAGCGGTAGATCATATGTCACGAGGAAGAGGATCATATAAGGTGAAATAAAAGACATACAAGTGTGATATACATAATTTTTATTAATTATTATTATTATAATTATTATAATTATTATATTATAATTATTTTTATAAATCATAGTTGTTTTACACGTTTGTTACGCTCAAACCATTACTTATACAATTTGCAAACATTCTGCATAGCGCAATGTCTTGTGTGATATCCACAGCGCAAGGTTCCGATTAAATCTAAATCTTTCAGACGCGTAATATCTTCGTAATCCTCATCGATGGTTTCAATTTCGAAATCATCATCTAATAGTTCACGCAGCCATTTCTTCTTTTCGTGTTCTTTCACATATATCAGAGGCGGTTCCGTACCAATAGCCTTGTTGATAAAACTTTTCATCTGACTGTACGAGACGTGCCCGTCTTCCCATCGGAGGCCGTGATGATGTACTTGTAACCAGCACACCAGCGATTTTTCCGATTTCGTCAACAAATACCACGGTACGGGTTCACGAAAGACGTAATGAGATAGCGTTTTGCCATCTCTGAGGACAGCTACCTCTTTCACCGTAAAGTTGGTGGAAAATGCGAAACCTTGCAGATCGACGAAAATTGGTACGTTTGACATCGTTGTCGATCATCGTAAAACTAACATTTCTATTCGCACACGTCTAATTTATAACTTTTCATACGAGTCTGCGCACAATGTTGTTCAGTGGATTATATTCGACCATTCGATCGTGTATAATGAGACAATAGGCGGTGGTGTTGGCCGGTATATTTTCTTTACAATCAAATTCTATTCGCACGTCGACGGTGGCGTTCTTGACAGAGTCATTTTGTCGCAAACAATTTATGACTACGAATGGACCGGCTTTTAAGAAATCATCTATATCCAAATACGTATTATCGCATCCGCAATAAGCTTTGCGGAAACGCGCATACATGTTGTACAGTATAGCGTATAGCGTATCGATTTCTGTCGAAATCCAAATTCATGTCGTCGTACGGATAAAAATCTGAATTCAAATACAACCTTACATTGGTGAGTTTACAAGCGTCAAATTGCGCAGCGTTTTCAGACAGTACATTTTTTTCGACCGGTTTGGAGAGCAAAGATTACGTATCTCGGTTTTTCCAATTGCGTCGCGGCTTTGACCGCCCAAGAATGCTTGGTCGTGTTTTGCAGCAGAGGAAATTCGTACAGATCCCACGAACGGAAGTACATGCTTAAATATCTTCCGCTTTCCAAAGTTCGAAGAAGGGACAGCTTGTTGACTTCGCTCAGAGATACGTGCGGCATTCGCCACTGTATCTTGAGTAATTCAATCGTTGGATTCGTACCGGCTCGTCCAATGAGACAATTGTTATCGTTGCGCGATCGTATCAATACAAGTTCGTGACAAGCGTTGATTACAATCCGTTTGTAGTCCTCGCAGAATTCAAACAGAGCATTGAGCGGAACGCAAAAATTAAAGTTTCCACCGATCAACGGATATCCATTCGGATTCCACGATGCATTTCAGCATATTGCTCTTCTCTGTCGTCAGCGATATATAATTTTTGATCGTGCTCGTTATTCCAACGTTTCTGTTATGATCGATTTCAACTCCGTCGAGCTCGTATCGCATTTCATCAAACATAAACGCGACACAATTATTTCCCATTATACACACGTTATCTCTATTCTCATCGGCAGGAGTAACGAGTTTTCCTTCAATGTATAGAAAACTCACACGGCAACGTGTATAAATCCTGTTGTATAGGTATAGGTATTTGTATCTCGTCGCTGTGTCCTAACGTTGTGTTAGCGTACGGATTGTACGTGTGCATCTCATATTTCACGATACGCTCGTCGAAGACGGGCTCGTCAGCAATGTTGAGTATATTCATCTCTTTAAACGTTTCTCACAACAAATTCCAATAATTGTAAAAAGTTTACGTTCGTCGTACTGAGCCTCTCGATTGGCAAATTTTTTTTTTAATCACACGCTTTTCTCTCTCGTTCAACACGAGCATTTCTTCGCACCACGTCGCCGCAAGTGCAGTCTGATGGTAAGCTCCTCTCCACGAAAATCAATCAATCGTCCGTCTTGATCCACCACACGCAGCGTAATATCACGCAAGGTGATATCAGTAACGCTCCTTGCGATGACCGGAAGGTAAATGATTTGCGCTGGCGTTTCCGAGATTTTATATCCCGGAGGCACGTTCGGTGAAAATTCATGTATCGTGTGCACCGACTTGTCGTTAGCGTACACACTTGCGGTAATGCTGTATTCCACTCGAATAATGTTTACGTTGATGATGTTTACCGAGGAGTCTGATTCGTACCACCTTCTCGATTCCAGTATACGAGCCGTTGAAAATCCAAACAACGATCCTATAGTATTTGGTCTAGCAAAATTTATCCGAAAAGCGCATTTGATTTCACTTTTCATGTATTAACGTTGGGACGAATTGACAATGGATAATCGTCATCTTCACTTTTTTCTCGTTTTTGCAAAATTGCATGTTTCAGATACGCATCGATGTCTTCCATTTCATACGATTCTTCGGGAATTGTAATTTTCTCGTCATTATCGTCAAAGTAAAATTTGTTGTTCGCCAGTGTCACGTTTG